CAGGCAGCTTGACAGCTGGAGTAAGTGTGAAGTCGTGAAGTTCAGTGCTGTCAAAACTTTCTAAAAAGAACTTGTCAAAGGACTTCCGTGAGTCCCATCAGTAGACCCAGGTGACATAATTTGTGCCCTTAAGCCTCTCTGCTATCCCTCCCTGGATCCAGGGTCAAAATCCATAAATTCACCTAAACCAGCACTGGAAGGAACTTCTGGAGAATTTGTCAAATTTATTCCACTGCCTCAAAACAGGATCAGCTCTCTGAAATAGAGTTTGGCCAACCTATGCTTCCAAACTGCCACGATGGAGACTCCAAGCCCATCCCAAACCATCTGTTCCACTGCTTCACTTCTCTGGCAATCAGAGGTTAGGAAGTTTTTCCTAACGCTTGTTTCCCTTGCTGCAGTTCAAGCTCAGCACTTCTTGGCCTCCTACCATTGGCCATGTAGAGCAGTTTAGTCCCTTCCCCGCCACAGATGCCTTAGACATACTCAGTGACCGCTACTTCTCCTCTCAGCCCTCTTGTCCCTAAACAACCTCATTTCCTTCAGTCTTTCTATGTTTCCTAGATTTCTGCTCATTTTTGGGTGCTTTCCTCTGGAGTCTCTGCATCTATTTCTTATTTTTGGTAGAGGGGAGCGTCCCGAATTAGGCATGGCACAGCTGAACATGAGAGTGACCCATTAAAAGTCCTTAGAGAGAAGAGGGGAAAAAAAGGAGATAATTTTGCACAATATCCATCTTTTGTAGTTTGCTGTACAATAAAGGGGTGTTCTTTCTTCCCCCTCCTATAAAATTTCATCCCAACTAGCATCATGCCAAACTCCACCTGGCACCTCCACCATTTGAGCAGCCCATAACATCTCTGCTCCAGTGGTCCTACTTCAGTCCATATTCCACATTCTCATTTAAGGAGGACATCCTTGCTACACATTTCAGGTGGGATATGAAGAACCAAAAGAAGCCCTTCATCAGGAAGTTACCCTAGGAATATGACTGAGATCATAAAATTAGCCCATTATACCCCCCTTAACCTCTTCTTGCTCACCCCATTGAAGAGGAGCGGCTCTTCCAATGACCTTGATTAAACTGCTTCTGCTTGATGTAAAAATGAACACTGATGCACAAAGCTAAACTCCCCCTGGTTAAACCAGACAGGGGGAAAAAAAAACCCCAAAGCACTGAAGCATTGTAAAACCAGTACACGATGAGAAGCTTTTGTTTTAGTCAGAACTGCAGACATACATCTCAGCCAGACAGAAAATACTCTGACTTCACGGTACATAAATGAGCAGGCAGAGCGCGCTGATCTAACGATAGGGAGCTGAGCTGCTCTACGACAGCAGTTATTTTTCACATTGCTTCTCTGCCAGACAGTCCACCCCCGAACCCTATCGTGCTGGGCAGCGGACAGACACAAAACACCACTCTAAACCCACGTCTAACACAGGAGACAACAGACAGGCACGTCCAGCGGGAGAGGACCGGGAGACAGTGAGTCAGTACAGGACCAGCACAACATGCTCTGGTCTCGGCTCATCGGTCACACAACTAAAGTCAAGGGTTTTGTTTAGGGATTGAGAGTTTTTTATTTTTTTCATGGGTGTTTTAAGAGGGAGCCAGGAGGGGAATTACAAGACAGTTCTGTGCTTTGTGGCTGCTTTACAAGGAGACTCTTCCATGCATGAAAGTCAGAAGGGCAAAAGGTAGGGACAGACTTTTTAACAGTATCTGTAGCAATAGGACATGGGACAATGCTTTTAAAACAAAGACGGTAGAGTCAGACTAGATATAAGGAAGAACTTATTTTAAAATGAGTGTGGTGAAACACTGGCACAGGTTGCCCAAAGAGGTGGTGGATATCCCATCCCTGGAAACATTTAAAGCCAGGCTAGATGGGGTTCTAAGCAACCTAGTCTACTTGAAGATGTCCCTGCTCATTGCACAGGGATTGGGCTAAATAAGCTTTAAACATCCCTTCCAACCCAAACCACTCCATGAATGTACAAAAGTGTTTGTCTGAAAAAAAGGAATCAAGCAAGTGGATGATGGAGTTTGATTTCCCAAGCAGAACAGATGTGGAAGCAGGTATTTTGGTGCCTCTGTTATTTTTGACCTTCAGTTGCTTGCTTAGCTTTTATTATCAATGCTACAGTAGCACTTACAGCCAAACTGCCTAGGGTCTACACGAACCCCTGTCCACAGTTACAAGGCAGAAAAAGGGTACACTTTGTCTCAACCTTTAAGCAGTCATGGTTTGATCATTTGAATGTCCTCCAACGGAACAAAAACTCACAACACTAGTATTTCCCCGAGCATTGTACAAAGAGGTCCTCCACAAAATATCCCACAATCTCACATAAACACAATCCTCTGAAGTGAAACAGAGCAGGTATTGCTGTAAATGCAGATTAACACTGCATGGATCAGGTGTGGAGAAGAGTCCTCTTCCCCGATCATTCTGGATGGAAGGTAGAGAGAAAATTTAGCACTTTCCTCTCTTGCCAAAGATCTCCTTGAAAAACAAAAGCAAAACAAAACCAGGCTTATAAAAGCACAGCACTTCAAGGACAGCGTTAGCAACACACCCATGTGCAGACACGTACATTTGAAATGCATTTGTCAAAGAAAAAAATAAATCTATCATCTACCCTGTGTCAATACAGCCAGAGCAGGAACTTCAAACCCGATTAGCAGCATCCTGCAGCCTGAGATTTCTCCTTTGAGGTCTCAAAGCAGAATATAAACTGAAGGTATAAGGAAAGTGGCAAAGCCAGCAATTCAGCGCCTTCCCTTTGAGGCCGTACAAAAGCCAGCGTAACACCACAGTGGCTGAAAACTCGCCTTTTGTGCATGCAAACCAAAGTCCAACTATGTGGGTTTGTTGCAGATGAAGGCAGACTTTACAGGAGTAAAGCCATCACCCTCAGGCTCTGTAACAGCAAGCTGCTCTGAACCACTATCGAAAAGAACTTGATCAACGCACCAACACCCTGAATGCACACTGAAGCTATATAAATATAATAATATCAATAATAGTGCATTAAAAAGTAAATGCAGGGGCACCACCAAGTGAGACACAGTCCAAGCTAAGGCCAACATTTTCAAATCCAGCCGCTGATGCAGGAAGCTGGTGCAACTGGTGTGACTGGAAGGGAAGTCCCACTGACCACAGCGCTGGGACCGCTCCGGCACAGAGATCCCCTCGAGTGACATCTGCCAAGCATCGCTTCCTGCCCCGCGGAGGCTGCGTGGGATGGCCAGGCACATCTCCACACGGCTGCATTTCCTCTTGGGGGAATGAGGACATTCTGAAAACATAGGTGGCTTGCAAAACACTTCAGGATGTATCTGGATGAAAAGCACTCTTACGCACATCAATAATTAGCACTAACCGCCGGCATGTCACACCCTCCATGTAGAGCATTTAGCAGATTTATTCAGCTCTTGCTGGAATGCCAGAGCACAAGCTGGATATTCAGATGGCAATGTGAGCGCCCTTTCATGGGGCAGATGCTGGGGAGCTAATGATGTTTGATGAGTTAAGGCCACTGGTGACTCAGGATCAGCAATTAGTTGATTTCTGCGGGAGGAAGGTGCTTTGCTCCATTAAGCTAAAAGCATTCTCCACAGTTCAGCATGCACAAAGTCATTCTGTGCATCTCCCACAAAGCCTGCCTATATTCATTAGGGAGTTGATATTTCCTACATAAACACCCAGGTTTACCTCTGCCTCAGTACATTTTAGGGGACACGGAGCAAAAGAACTGGATTCCCTAGCAATTCCAACATGATACTCCCTCAAAGGGGATGAGGCATACAAGGAAAGGACTGCCCAGAGTGACTGGACATACAGCCTAAAGCAAAGGGATGTAGCATGACTGATGTCTACAGGGCTGAACCCATTCTGGACAAGGCTAATAGCAGCACATCACAAATCAGATACCCCTCCAGTCCTGCTCTAGCCTGCAGTATGGGACTACAGACATCCATCTCCCTCTCAAGGGTAGGTAGTGATGCTTTCATCAATCAATAACAGGCACTGGGGAGACACCAGCTGCACTTGTTCTGCCTGCCGTTCCTGAAATGCATACAGGCAAAAGCAAGGGGACCAAAGGACGACCTGGCTGGTATCCCCCCAAGAAGGGAGTGCATTCAGCTCTCTCCCAGAGGCTGTGTTGCAGCCAACTGAAGCCTGGCAGAGGCTGGTCACTGGCATCAGGGAGCGGGACCCCAGCTTTTTCCCAGGAAGCAATGTTGCCGAGTCATAGGATGGCAGTGTGTTTCTGAGCTCTAATGCTCGAGGCACACGGCGGGACCGTCAGGTGGAAGGCGCAAAGAACAGTTATTTCTTTCAATGAGTGGGGAATGTGACAAAGCTGGCATTTGGACCCTCTTTTTACAACTTCTTTGAAGTGTTTGATCTCAGCCGCTAACGACACAAAGGCTATCCAAGCGCTACTGGTGCTACCTTCAAAGGGTTCGGACGTTCAATGATTAATAGGAACCGTGCGCGGGATGGGGGGGAGTGACTATTACGGGGATGTTGGGGGCGATCCAAGATGCGTTAGTACCTTTACTCCTTGGGACCAAGGTATTTCCATCCTTCCCTAAAACACACGACTTCAAAGGCGGGGGTGTGACCGTCGCAGGTCCCGGGTGAGCCCGGCCACCGCGGGGCGCACCCAGAACGGCCCCAGCATCGGGTGCCCGCTCCAGCCGCGGCCGTCACCTCCCACCCCACCACCGCGGGGCAGGGGACAAGCCGGGGCGCTCGGAGATGCTCCCACCCTCCTTCCCCGAGCGGTGGGGAGTCACGACTCAACCGTGCCGCGCCCGGGCAAGGGGCACCCCCGCCCTGCCGAGCCTCGGCGGCGCCGGGAGAGGCGGCGGCAGGTGCACCCGGGCTGGCGGCGGGCGAAGCAGGGATGGAGGCGGCGGGGGGGATGGATCCCGGCTTTCCCAGGGCCGGGGCAAGGATGAGACGGGGTGGGCTGAGACTTACGTATCTCCGCAACTTCTTCTCCGGCGGTGACTTTCGGAGCCAGCCCGAGCACACCACCTCCCCGCCGCTCATCGCGGCAGCCGGGCGCCGCCGGGCGCTGCCTCCTGGCGCTCAGCGCCGGCCGCGCCGGCCCATGGAGGAAGGGCGGGCGGCCGGGCGGGGGTGGGTGAGCGGATGGATGGGTGGGTGGGTGGAGGGAGGGAGGGATGGAGGGATGGATGGGGGGGCGGCGAGCGCCTCCCCCCGCCGCCGCGGCCGCTCGGCTGCGAGCGGGGAAGCAGGAAACTGGCTCCTTCCCGGCTCACCACGCCTCCGCCCGCCCGGCGCCCCGCCAGCCCTGTTAAAGACACAAACCCCGCGGGGAGAGGGGCTGCCCGGCCCCGCGCCGCCCTCGAGGGGCTGCAGCTCGTCCCGTTCCCCCCGCACTGATCCAGTGCCTATAGAGAAACTTTATCCCTACTGCAGCAGGTGATCTCCAGCAGCGCAGCGTTCCCTTAATAAAAAAGTACACTCCCCCCCCCCCCCCAAACCCCTCTACTCTAAGGTTTCATTACCCCAGCACCTTCCCTCTCTCTTGATGGAGAAGCTCCTTCTCACCGCGGAAAGGTGATGCTGGCTTTAGCCCCGCTGTGCTCAGGGGCTTGTGCCTGAGATGAAGGTGCCATAGGAAAACAAAGAGGTTGAGCAAGAAACAGCCAAACACTAGTGATGCCAAAAACCCTCTTGAAGAAAAAAAATTTTAAAATTAAACAAACAAACAAAACCAACAAAACCCGAGGGGAATCAATAAAAGCTTAGTATTTTATTATTGATTTTGAAGTAATGGAGCAGTGGTCACTGAAAGGAGATTTGACTGCCATTGGAGTCTCATGCAGACAAGCCAGGTTTTGTATTACGGCATATTATACCCTGGCTGAGATTCACTATCATCTTTCAGATCTAGAAACACTGTACATTTCAAAGTCTGATCCTCTCCCCAGCTCAGGCAGCACTAAAGCGTCCCTCTTCAGACCTATGAGGTGGGTTCTGCTCTAAACCTCCTTTCACCGCATTCTTTAAAGTAAAAACTTGGGCATGGTACCCACAAAAGCCAAGTCCTCTTAGACCATGCTCACATGGAAAACACAACCCAGGGTTGTTTGCTGGGTATGGATTTCTAAGACCTGTCTCTATACAGGAGCTCTGCCCCAAACCTGCTTGGGCACATTCAGTCATCCCTGCCTCAGCTTCTCTGCCTGTCCAACCTCTGTGGGCAGGGATGGTCCCTCCTTACATGTTTGTGCCGTGGCTGGTGCAATAACAACTCCACGGTGGCTGGATGCTCTACTCTATGTCAAACAACAACAACCTTTATATAACGCCACTCGAGCAAGGATCTTGCATCATTTCAGAACAGTAATTGCAACTTGCAGTGCCTCTGGGAGGTAGGAACGACACCCCTTTTCAAGATGGGGACAGCACAGTTAAGCCATATGTTGTTTATCATCTTTGAGAATGCATAAAGCAGGGGAATAACCCCTTAAAGAACAAGCCAGTCATTTGTTAGGAATGTATTTTCTCAACAGCTTTGTTTTTCTGACAGTGAAATGCAAAGACTTAAAAAGGAAGATTTTTCTACCTTCTCATTACCCAAAGGAAGGATTTGATCCTATTCCAGTGCTGGGCAATCTCTGCACAGAGAGGCTGTGGTCAGATCAGCTCCCCCATCTCTGCCAATTCAGCGTGTGTGGTGGAGCTGAGAGCAGGGGAGGATGGAGAGACCAGTTCTGTGCTGGCCTCAGCCAGCACTGACTATTATTCAGTGCACTAGAGCTGTATCAATTTACACTGCATGACAGCAAGAGTCCCACCTGCAAACTCCCCTGGGTTAGAGGCAGTTCGTGCATTCACAGGGAAAACTGCGTCCTGGTGATGTGTGCTTGAGATATCTTCCCAAAACACACAGTGATTTCAGGGAGGCCAGCGAGCCACTGGGGATTTAGAAAGACCCCACTGAGAGCAGACAATCATGATTAGTACAGAGGTATCGTGCAAAGCTATTCCACGGTGTATGTTAACGATTCACAGGTTAGGAATTCACTCATACTGACACCAATGCAAAGTGGTATCAGTTTGAATACCAGTTGTGGAGAACCCTGTCTGCATTTTTATGTTAACAACTTCCACCACACAGAGTTGAAACACTTCATTTGGGTGATGGATGTTTGAAGAAATGCTCCATAATTATCATTGTGTGGATCGGAATGAATTATTCTACATATTCTGTGACAGCCCTAGGTTTATTACCCTGCTCCATTACTGTACTATCCTTTCTCTCCACTCATCCCTATTTTGGATCACATTTATTGACTTGGTTATATCTCAACATATATCTGAACAGTGTCCAAAACATGAAGTACCCCTGTGAATTCTTTTTTTTTTTTTATTCCTTTGGTGAAGCCTGACACATGTATCTCAGATTGCTGGGACTTTTGGATGGGAAATGGATTGCATGTTTTGTACATTTAAATATGCTGCCATCTCAAATGTGACACAGAATCACAGAGTCATAGAAGTTGGAAAAAACATCCAAGATCATCGAGTCCAACCTTAAAATAAGCTCTGTGCAGAAAAATGCTTGAAACAAAGATGCTGCACGTGAACGTGCCTCCCCAATTCCACTGTGGCCATAAGCAGAGCAGGAACAGTGACTTAATTCTGGCATCAGGCTGCCAGATTACATATGATCCAGTGCATGTAACATTACAATGCCTTATAATGCTGGCCCTCCTTAAAGCATTTGGCCTGGAAGATACACACAAATACCACCCTCAATGCCCCTAGGAGTTAAGGATGATGTCTGTCTTAAGCACGGCTCTGATTTGGCAGCGCTTGCATGTTCGTAACAGTTTTACCAACTTCAAGCTGTTCCTCCAACCGGCAGTGGAGAATGAACTCAGGCTGGCCCCAGCTGACTACGTAAATCTCCAGAGTTTGAGCTAACAGCCAGCAGCCTTGGCGGAAAACTGTGTGAAAACCACATCCCTGTGTTGGAAAAACCCAATGAGGGAGCTATGCGAAGCCATAGAGAATCTCTCCCTGCCAGAAGGAACAACTGAAAGGGGAACAGCAGAACTAGCAGGCATAGTAAGGAAGAAATTAAGAGAAGCCATATGAGCAATTGTATTCCTTGAACAAGGGTAAGGCTGAGAAACATTTTTCTAAGAAAAAGCCCTTGTACTGTGCGTTTAATGTGCCAGAGTGCATGGAAAAGTGACACTTTCTCCTGCAGAAACCTCCAGGATTTTTAACCTTCAGTGCGGTTTCTCGTTCATATCTGAAACCGAAATCTATGAAAAATCAGAACTTCTAAGAAAGAAACCACAATGTCCACGGCTTCTCCTGCCTGCTCCAAATTTATTTATATGAGCTGTGCCATCTGCTGGCAGAAGAGAAAGCTGCAGGCAGAGCAATTCCCCTCCTCGCTCCCGGTCGCTGGTGCAAAGAGCAGGGATGGATGGAGACACAGGGCATTTCCTGTGGATTAAGGACCAGCTGGCTGAAATGCTTTGGGCTACTTACCCCAGCCAGGCAGTAATCCCTTGGAAATGCCCTATACTGAGGTTAAAATAAATCGAAACAGGCTAGAGGGTGAGGGGAAAGGCTAAAAAATCTGCTGCACTGCTTAGTGCTACTTGCCTGCTTTTAATTCTGACTGAATACTCGGTCTCCTGAGATCCAGCTCCACAACAATAGGACCTGACTTTATCTTCATGCAACAGTTCCTGCAGCAGAGCGAGATGGAAGTAGCTTTTTTATTTCACCAAGGATTTTCAAGGTTAAAAAAAAAAAAAAAAAATCACCTCTTTCAAGAACTCAAATCTTTTCAAGCTTTCCACCTTCCATAGAAAAGAACAGCAAGCCCCCCAGAACAACCGCAATTGAAGCCGAACCACAAGACAGTCCTTTGCTTTATGTGATAGACAGCAGTTCCAGCAGCACTGTGTGCTTTCCAAGAGAGGAGGGAATAGGAGCACAGGATGCTTTGATCAGATAACGAGACAGTTTGAAGCATCTTCACTACAGTGTTCTGGCAAAGATGGGCCATCAGAGCTCTGATGCCTTAATAGAGACTTGAAAAAAAGAGAAGGGAAGAGATAACTTGCAGGTCAGCAGCGGTAAAGGCACATACAGTCCCTTGGACTAGACAGGCCAGTTGGTGGTGGTGATAGGAAAGCAATCAATTTGGAAAGCCTACTTTGTCCTCTCTCTGTTGGACATCCTGGTAGAAACCAGCACATCCCATCAAGAATGGATGCAGACCATGGGGCAGCATGGGGAGGGGCCTGGGGTGCCTGGACAGTGTCTGTGCATGCAGCTGGAGGACACTTCCCAGTCCTCACACTTGAAGATAATTAAATGTGTTTTCCTATTCAGTTCACACTGAAGCCCAGTCCTACGTCTTTGAGCAAGGTAGACAGTTAGGAGTAACTTTGCCTGGAGCTGACCTGGGACAGAACACTACTGATGTATTTCTCAGTTTTGGGCCCAGGTAGGACTTCCCGCTTGGTGATTCCTTCTAGGATGGATGAGTTCCTCATGAAAACTCTCCTGACTGGATCTAGATACATTTTTGGCAGCTACCTTTACCACCCACCCCCCACCCCCCACCTATGCTATTTCTGCCACAGAGGAGAAGGAAACTGGGAGTTTTCCCATTTTTTTCTCACCTCCTCAAGACAGAAAGCCATTATAGAACTGCTTGGTGGACAGTGCACCAGGCAATGCTCCAGACACAGACACTATTCTGAGATAAGCATAAAGGCCACTTCATCCTTGTTTTTCCCCGGATGAGACCAGCGGCTCGGTATGGGAAGGACTCCCTCTACGGACACTATTTGGCACAATGGGGCTTTGACCACAGCTGGGCCCAGGGCAAGCAACCATAAAACAAATGATAATAAAACAAGCAGGGGGAAAATCTTTTGCTGGGCTCCCCTGCCTGTTTACCCGACCCTGGTATCCTCTCACATCCTTAGGCATTACTTCAAGAGCAGATGGTGCTCTGTGGTAGAGCAAACGAGCAATTATCCTCCTGACACCCCGCAAGGCCTCCCCACATGCGACTGCAAGAAGTTACTTCACCCCAAGCTAAGAGCTGTTGTCTGGCT